GAAATAGCATGAATACCACCATAACACCTATGCTGATTCTACAGGCATCTCATTTCAGATTTTAACCTTGCTAAACAATTCATTACATAATTCCAGAGTGGCAGCTTTCATGGAACTTAGTTGACTGTTCATTTTTTATAGCTCTTATAGGAAAAGAGGTATCTGTACTGTAGGGAGAAGCTGGAGTGGTCAGCAGTACCTCGGATTGTGCTTTCCACCTACAACTGTACTACTTTTATTAGCATCATAGATTAACAAATATTGACAAACTTTTCATATTATGAACAATATTATAAGAAATTCTTCAAGATACCAGGTGAAGAGTTAATGGCAATTTGTGAATCTATAAAATATTAGGATTTGGTGCCTTTTATTACAGTTTTGATTGCTTTTAATTTTTACCTGATTAGGGAAAGAAGTAAATCCACTTTCAATCCTACTGTATTCAGCTCCCCCGCTATTGACTACTTTAACTTTCACCTAGAAATGACTCACCTGCATTTTTTGTTAATTTGGGGGAAGGCTAGTTTTACTCTTTTATTTCAGTTTGATGAGTACTTGGCTTTACTTTCTTGAAGGGTCTTATTCCTTTCATGCTTGCTTGATTTCTCTCCCTTTACTTGATTCTCACATCTTTCACATGTCTCATTCCCTCTCTTCTTTGCTGTGGCTTTAAACCTTTCTGAGTGTCCTGACCACCCCCTACCTCCTGCTGATCCTACCCCTTATCCTGATGCTCTCCTGTTGCTTTTGTTTAAAGTACTTTACAGATGTGGCAACTGGCTGTTCTTGCTCTACTGAGACACAACCACTGTTTCCAAAGTGCTGTTTTTATACGATGATGTGCATGTAAATGCTCAAAATTAAAATATCAAAACAGGAAAAGAAATTCTGATTGCAGCACTGTACAATTTCCCTTTTATAAATATTCCCATCAAGTTCCCAATTTGACATCAGGAGCTGAATGACTTCAGATTGGACAAGAGATTAACATGGTTCATATTCCCAGCAAGAGCCTGGAGCTCCATTATACCACTGATAGTGGCACTTCTATAGTATATTCCCACTTTTGTCAAGGTAACAAAGTTGACTTACATGTTATTTCATTCCATTTAGTAACTATGAATCATTACTGTCATGTCCTAGGTACTTCAAGAGATTATGACTTTCAGAAAGAATATTATTGATAGTAAACTAAATAGATAAAGACAGTAGTTAGACACGATTATTAGAAAAACAGGGTTATTTTATTTTTAAAGCACATTCTGCTGTTGCTACAGTTGTTGATTTTCAACATACACCTGTCTCAATTTCATAGTAAACATAATTGTAACAGAAAATCCTGTACCTTGTTGCTAATACAACTCTACCCTTAGGTTTTGTTTGTCTATTTGTGTATTTTGAAACTATGTAGCAAAAGCTT